AAGAAAAACTGTTACTGGAAATTAGAAAAACAACGGATAAAGGAACGCTTATTTATATAATTGCTGCTGGTTTGCCAGATTTTATAACAGATTTATAATAAAGAAGAAATTGTACACACAAGCGACTTATTTAACGAACTTAGAAGATTAGAACATTTGGTTTCGAAGAAAAAAATATAAAAAAGAAAGAAGATGATAAAATGATTACAGAAAGATAATAATAATAATAATAAGCCCGCAGGGCACCTTGAGGCGAGGTGACGGGAATTAGCGATCCCGCGGGCTACCATCATCCCGATTGCTCCAGGGAGAAGTCACCGTTCCTCATCTCCGGCTTGCCTTCATTGGCTGGCCGGAGTGGACGATGACGAGGAACAGGTCTCCCACCTCTGGCTTGCCTTCATTGGCCGTCCAGAGTGGAGTCGCGAGAGTAGTGATCCTGCTCGGAGGGTGGAAGCTGTTCGTAAGCGGCGAGTGGGCCAGTGATGCAGGATGCTTAGGCAGATGCAGATGATCTGAGTAGAAAGCTGGTGGCAGTTTCTTCACCCTCCAGCCACTCACATTTCCGTTGTCCCTCTGTTGTTATTACTAGCAACCATTCCCGGGGGCCCGGTCGGTGAGTTGGCGAGTCTCCACCTGCCATTTTTACGTGTATTTATTACATTGTTTCGGCAGGTGCCATAGTCCTTCCAAAGTTCCCATCATACCAGTCCATAACAATCCACACCCATAGTCTTATCCCTTGTTTCCATTATCCGCAATAGTCCTACACTAACCGGAGACTGTCCTTGGGTGCATTTCCATAGTGCATACAGGGATAGTCGCCGGTTAGTGTCCCATTTCATTTTGAGTAAAGTTGTCTAAAGGGCCTCTGCGCAGTTGGCTCCGGCCCCTCGTACGCCTTCCAAATGACCGGGACCCTGTGGTCCCGTGATTGGTAAAGACATACAAATAATAATAATAATTAGCCTTACCGTCCTCTACGTCAGCAACAGGAGTGGCTGACGTAGAGGACGATAAGGTTGAACAAGTGAGTACTCAGTACAATGAGAGATTGAGGAACGCTTTGGAGGATGCGATACATGAGTATAGATTTGCTCCTAGTGAACTAAGACCTAAATTACCACGTTTGCCCATGTGTGGAAAAAATAGGGCGCTGGTGTGTGCCTTGGATTCGCTACTCGAAAATTATTTTGAAAGTAGCGAAAATCTCTATGATACACACTCGATCCTGTATTGTGGGGCGATAGCAGCTTGTCGAGTAGCTAACGTCAGATTCCCAAATCTTGACGCAGCAGTCCGACCGAAACCAGCTGCTCCTGCCTGGCAATGCAGGATTGAGCGTCGTATCGATGAGGCCAGGGTACTCATCGGCAAACTAACCTGCTTCAGGGAGGGGAATAACCGCCCTAGAGTGATGCGCTTTGTAAGGCGTGCATTTGTGGGGACTGAAACTAGTCCTCATGAATACCTTACACGTGTTACAGAGCGCATCGACTTCCTGAAGCAGAAAATCTATGCATGGGCAAACCGTATTAGAAGATATAAAAAAGGGTAGAGCGCTATACTCAGAATCGTATGTTCCAAAGCGATCAGAGGTGGGTGTACAGAGACTGGGAACGGTCCAGCCAAGATGTGGTTAACGGACAGCGGCCGGACGATGAAACTACCAACTCGTTTTGGCGCAACATCTGGTCGGTGCCTGTTAACCACACGGAGGCTGACTGGATGTGCGATGTTAAGCGGGAGTGTGAAACTTTACCAGAGATGGAGAAGGTAGTCATTACCTCCTCTGATGTAGCCAATGCAGCCTGTTCGGTCCCCAATTGGAAATCACCGGGGCCGGATGGACTGCATAACTTTTGGCTGAAATCGTTCTCCAGTTCACACGATCGCTTAGCGTCGCAGTTTCAGATGGCCTTAGAAGCTGGATCGTTGCCTCAGTTTCTGACTACAGGAATTACCCACCTGGTCCTATAAATCAGGTAGTTACACTGAACCCAAAAATTATAGACCGATTACGTGTTTACCAACGGTCTATAAACTTTTTACCTCCATTTTGAGAGCAAAAATAACAAAACATATAGAAAAAATTTCCATCATGTCTGTCTCTCAGAATGGATGTAGAAAGGGGTCACGTGGAACTAAGGAGCTACTCCTCATTGATATGGTCATTAGCCAGCAGGTTCGTCGATCTCGAAAGGATTTGTCTACATGCTGGATAGATTATAAAAAGGCTTATGACTCCGTACCACATACATGGCTTATGAGGGTGCTGGAGTTGTATAAAATTAATACAACTCTGCGCACCTTCTTACAGTTATGTATGAGGCAGTGGAGCACGGTGCTTTCCTACCCAGGATGTAAGCAAATCCAAAGGAGTGAAGAACCTGTAAGGATAGTGCGAGGAATATTCCAGGATGATAGTCTGAGCCCACTGTGGTTCTGCTTGGCCTTGAATCCTCTCAGTACTTTACTTGAGGCTTCAGGGCTGGGCTATCGTTTGCGGAGAAAAGGTCACGTTATTTCCCACTTACTTTACATGGATGACCTCAAGTTGTTTGCACCAAACAAGGAGGAGCTGATGGAACTACTAAAAATAACAAAAAATTTTAGTAGTTCCATCAGAATGGAGTTTAGTGTTGATAAGTGTGCGGTCATGCATGTAAAGCGAGGCGGTATAGTGGAATCTGAAAGCCTAGAGCTGTCAGATTTCACAAAACTGAGATCACTCTCCGCAAATGATACCTACAAGTATTTGGGTATGTCGGAAGGATTGGGTATTAATGGGCCGCACATGAAACAATCCTTACAGGAGCGCTTCTTTGGCCCCCTGAATAAGGTACTGAAAAGTTCGTTATCAGGCGGCAACAAGGTGCGAGCCTTTAACGGTTGGGTCATGCCGGTCCTGATGTATTCTTTAGGCATACTCAAATGGACTCAGACTGAACTTGACACCCTGGATAGACGAGTCCGGACGCTGCTGACTGCAAATCGAATGCATCACCCTCGTTCATCAGTCATGAGGTTGTACATCCCGCGGAAGCGTGGGGGTCGAGGCTTTCTAAACGCTAAGACCCTTCACAACCGTGAGGTGTGCAGTCTCAGAGAACATTTCCTGAAAGTGGACGACGACGACTTGTTGAGTCTGAGGTTCCGTACTACAGGTATGTGCCCGACCCAGTTCTCGAAAAAGACCATATCACATTGTACTGGGATCGGTCTATCATCACAGACAGGACTATTGTAGCCAATAAGCCTGACATAGTGTTGGTAGACCGACTAGCGCGTCGCACGACGATAATCGATGTTGCCATTCCTCATGACGAGAACCTCGTGAAAGCTGAGAAAGATAAACAATTGAAATATCTTGACTTAGCTCACGAGGTTGTTGACATGTGGAGTGTGGACTCGGCTATCGTTGTGCCGATAGTTGTGTCGGCAAATGGGTTAGTCCCCAAAAGCCTCGACAACCACCTTAAGAGGCTGACGTTAGGCGGATGGATCAAGGGCCTCATACAGAAGGCAGTCCTCCTTGAAACGGCACGTATTGTGAGGAGGTTCCTGTCTTTGGAGCCCTAACTGCCGGTAGCTTGGACCTTGCTCCCGCTGCCGGCTGGCACCTACTTTTATATTTTTAAATATTATTTTATTTTATTTTATAGTAATATTTAAAAATGTAATTTTAGAGTAATTTTATTAAATATATGGAATAATAATAAATAACAGAAAAAGATAAGAAACAAATTAAGCTAATTAATAATTCCGAATTGGAATGTGAATTACAGTGTGAAGACCAAAAAAACTAATAGTGCCGCCACTGATCAAAGTCAAATTAATATTGAATAAAAATGTTGAAGTATTTGACATCTACGACTCAGGATCTAACGTCTCATTGATTAATTCAAAGTTATTGAAGATTACTAATCAAGGAGCCAATTATTTCAGTAATACCAATTTAAAACGATTAATGGGGTTAAATAAGCGGATGGCATTATTTCCCTGGATGTAACCATTTTTGATGTGGAAAAAAGGATGAATATTTTTGTAATAGACAAAAAAAATTTCGATTATGATTTTTTAATTGGACTAGACTAGCATAAAATAATTTTACCTAGTTCAAAACGAAGAAAAAAAGAACCTAGAAATTACACAGAAAATACCTATACTAAGCAATTGAACTGTTTCTATGGAAACAATTAAAACAGATTTCGATTCTAAAGGCCTATCCGCACTCGCACGCGAATCACGGCGCGCATCGCGCCGCGAAGCGCGGTGCGATGCGCGCCGCGACTGTCAACAGTCCACACTCGCAGGGTTCGCGCCGGGCTCACAGTATAGTTCGCGCTCTTGACGCGTACACACGTCTAATTTTCTCAGTCAAAGTTTATTTGTAGTAGGTATGGACAGTGAAACCATTACAGCATCTGCTTTGCTACTTTGCTCTTTGGCAATTTATAGTTACGCCTTAAAGAAAAAACGAATAATTCAAAAGAAGCACAGGAAACGGAGATGGTGGATTACCACCATTCACCGAAACAGAAGCAGGTCAGTACCATACCAACTTACTTTCTTGTAGAGGTTAGAATATAGTAAGTATGTAGTACCTACTAGTTGGGCGAAACGGGGACATCAGGCAGATTCCATACAAGCTTGGTCTAAAAAAAATTGCGCGGCCAGACCCAGGACTATTTGCAATAGTAATAGTAATAGCTCATAAAAAAATATATGTACTTAACCCTGTAACTGCATTTTCTGAGTAAGTACATATATTTTTACAGTTACAGGGTTAAGTACATATATTTTTTAGGTCTTTAAATGAGCTAGCTATTGCAATCCTTCTTGGTTGTGGCCGCACGATTTTATTTATTTAGACCATAATGCCTGATGTCCTTTTAACAATAGGTTAAAATGAAACTTATAGGTGCTCGATAACTTTGTCTTTTGTTACAGTGCAACTATGGAGAAGCTTTTGAATGAATTAGTAGCAGAACCTTCAGATGAATTCAAAAAGTTTTCCCGGATGTCATTAAATGATTTTGAATATTTGCTTAGTCGAATTTCAAGACGAATTTCAAAACAAGACACCCAGTTGCGAAAAGCCATTCCTGCCCGGATACGTCTTGCTATAACACTGAGATACTTAGCAACAGGAGACGACTATGGAAGCCTTCATTATCTGTTCAAAGTTTCACCACAAGCAATATCAGAAATTATACCAGAAGTTTGCCATGCTCTATGTGAAGTGTTGAAGGATGAAATAAAAGTAAGGATATAAATCAAATCAATTTTAATACGCATACAAAGAACAAAATCTTAAATCTAGAATATAATTCCGCAAAATCAACCAAATATTTCTCATTAGGACATTTATTTAAAGTAATAAAAAACAAATTCGGTAATATTAGTAAGTATTTAACTTGAGTCAAAAGCTGACTGAATTATATTACCAAAATTTTCATTAGATGTTTTTTCACCTTGGTTCTCTGGTATATGAAGGACAGGATAGTCTGGTGCACGAACAAGCTGGTGGGATCGAATGATAATATTAGAAGCTGGGGCTGATAATACTTGTCTATTTTGGTAATGAGCATTTTGATTAGCCTGTCCATAATGCAATGGAGGCTCTGAATGTGTAGATGATGATGTGCCTGGTCTCTGAGGTGGTGATGGAGACATCACAGCTTGTCTATTTTGGTAATGAGTGTTTTGATTAGCCTGTCCATAATGCAATGGAGACTCTGAATAAGTAGATGATGATGTGCCCGGTCTTTGAGGTGGTGATGGAGACATCACAGTGTCATCACATTTGTATCGTAAATACAAGCCGTCAATGTCGTGCATCAACTGCAATTTATTCTTCTCAGATAATTTTCGCAACTTATTTGCTAATAATTTTCCGTATAAATCACAATCATCCTCTTGCTGAACAGGCTGTGATGGATTCCTTTTTAGCGTAGATTTGAATGTGGCAAGAGCTTCTTTAACGACGTTTCCTGCTTCAACCAGTTCCGATGAGGTTTTGCGTCGGCGGATTGAATGGTCGCTGTCTTTTTGGGAGTTCATAGACTGACTTCGATTTTCATTGATGTCATTTTCTTCAATAGCTTCTGTAGGCTCCTCCCCAGTTTCCTAAAAAAAAAACCACATTGATTTAGGTACCTACATACTGTTTTTTAGGAAGTTTCTATATAATGTTATCGTTTTTGCAGATACCATCTTGTCCAGAAGAATGGCTGTGTATTGAAAGAGGATTTGCAAGGAAGTTTCCTCGAGCGGTTGGATCTATTGACGGCAAACATATTGTTCTCGAGTGTCCATTCAATTCTGGTTCTGCATACTATAATTATAAAAGAACCTTCAGTATAGTATTACTGGCATTAGTTGACAGTCAGTACAATTTCATATTTGCTGACATAGGTTGCCAAGGCAGAATAAGTGACGGTGGAGTTTTTACAAATAGTATTTTATGGAACAAGATGTGCACAAACAGCTTAAATTTACCACCACCGCATCCTTTACCAGGTTCGAATATTGATGTGCCCTATGTTTTTTTGGGGGATGGAGCCTTTGCACTGTCAGAACATTTAATGAAGCCCTATTCTGGTCAACACAATATGGGTTCTGCAGAACGTAAATTCAACACAAGATTATCTTCGGGTCGAGTGGTGGTAGAAAATACTTTTGGTATATTGGCGGCCAGATTTAGAGTATTTAGAAAACCAATTCCGTTACAACCAGAAAAAGCTAGCCTTATAACATATACTTGTATACTACTGCATAACTTCTTGAGACGAAGTTCCACTTCTTTACACATCTATACACCACCCGGATCTATTGACATGTACGATGACGATGGAGTACTTATACAACCTGGATCATGGAGGACAAATCAAGATAATACATCCGCTTTTCGTAACTTGAGAACAGTACCTCGGCGACCAGCAAATAACGCCATAGAAATAAGAAAGGAATTCACGAAATATTTAAGTAATATTTAAGTACCTAGCTAATAAAAATAAAGTTACCTACTTACCGTATTCATAGTTTTTTTACACGTTAGATTATCTCCCAAAAAAGCATTCATTGCTTCGAAAGCAAACCAAGTAGGCTGATATATATCATCGGCACCAGCTCCCGATTGAATAGACTTCTTAACTTTCCCCTTGTAGCTCCTATAACTTGACATGAGGGAATCTTTTTTCTTTTTCAATTCTTCTATTGGTATTTCCATCACAGTACTTACCCGCATCCAAGCATCGTGCTGTTTCAATTTATTTTTATAGTCTTTCAAATTAATATCCCACAATACCGGCTCAGCACGATAACAATCAATAAATGCGAGTTCTGTCTCGTTATTCCACACGATACTCATTTTCACACAACCGTCCGCGGCGATTGCTACTGAGCGACTGAGCACCCCGCGAATGTGGAATCTTGACGTATTCGCGCGCGCTTCGCGCCTGCGAACCCTTTGACGCGGGACAAAAAACCGACAATTTTCGGGGAACAAGCCGCGAAGCCGCGAGGAATATGCGAATCGGATCCACACTCATCCTTCGCGGGTACTTCGCGCCTTCGCGCGCGAATTGCGCGCGAGTGTGGATAGGGCTTTAGGATACAAAATCTGATAATAGTAAACTTCAATGAAGACTTCAGTGAATACAACTTTCAAATTTGCACAAACCACCTAGACTACGAAAAGCAGTCAGAAATAGATAAATTAATATCGGAAAATGCATCTGTATTTGCAAAAGACAAATATGAAATAGGACAAGTAAAAGATTATGAAGCACACATTGATTTATTGACAGATAAATATTGCAGTAAAAGGCCGTTCCGTTGCACATTGGAAGACAAGACAGAGATTGAAAACCAGATAGCAAAATTATAAGAGAAAAATATAATAGAGTAATCATATAGCACATATGCAGCACCTACTGTCACGTTAGCTTATAAGAGAGATATGAAAACAGAAGATCAAGATAGTGCATTGATTTTAGAGATTTAAATAAAATTGTTGTTCCTCAATCACAGCCGTTCCCTCTTATTGAGGACCTCATAATAAAAACAAGAGATTGCAAGTACTTCTCAACTCTACACTTAAATTCAGCTTTCTTTCCAATTCCTTTATGTGTCACTGATAGATACAGGACTGCATTTGTGACACAAGAGGGATATTACCAATGGACCTGCCTTCCCTTTGGATTAAAAACATCACCAGCTATATTCCAGAGAACAATGTGTAACATAATACGGAAGCGCAACCTGCGTGAATTTACAGTATGTTTCATCGATGACATTGTGGTACCTATTTTCTGAATCATTCTCTGAGCATGTTAGACATCTGAAACAACTTTTAGAGATATGAGGAACAGGATGGAAAGTTCCTCATCCTCCAATGAAAAGAGAGGATCCTCCGACCAGGCGAGGTCTTCGTGCCTGGTGGGCTACTGCCTGATGCCTGGCTGGTACTGGTGGGTTGCTGTCGGGATATCTGTAAGGGTGCTAATTGTGTAGAAAACTCTTATAGCGCGATGTAGGAACTTGCACGTGATTGGTGCTGTTTGTCAATGCTGTGCGATAGATGTCGCTACACCACTCCCCTCGGAGACCGGAGGTCGTTAGCAGGTTGAGTAGTCTGAATATCTTGAGTTGCTTATCGAGCCAGTTGATGGTTTCAGTGCGTCGAATCTGTCTGCGAAGATGCCCCAGTGAGTCGGGTGGTGCAGTGCTAAACCAAACGCAGGTAAATATAATATGGTGCAAAATAAATGAACATGACACAAAAGTAGCATGGAATACCACAAAACTGTGTAAAAAACACAATGAGACGGAGCTCACAGTTACTGGATATGCTCCAAAGTATTTATTTCATGGCACTGATGTTACAATTTTGCCAAATGAGCTGAAAGAGAAGAAGACTGCCCATGATTAAATCCAAGCCAGGTAAAAAGACCTGGAAACTTCACTTAGATCACATAGCTACAACAAGAAAATTTATGACAAGAATCGAAAACATGCAGACTTCAAAGTTGGTGATACAGTTTTTGTAGATAATGGAAACAGACTGAATAGGAAGAAACCCGATGAATTAAGACTCGGCCCTTACAAAATCATAGAAAAAGTTTCAAACTCAATTTACAAGATAAACACTGGTTATAAGAAATCAGAGTCATACTTTTTCCACATCTCGAAGTTAACCCCAGCCCCTGACTGCGTTTGAAGAATACTCATGACTAGCTTATCACAATCAGCTGCATCGTGATGATATATCATCAAAGAGGGTATAACCTCGTATATAAATGTGTAGGTACCTATGAAATATTGTTATTGTGTTGGGAAAACTTACCGATATATCAAGAAGTTCTTTGAGTCGTTTAAAATTATTCTGTATTTCTGTAGACAACGCAGTATATCGTAATTTCTCCACAGCCGCTTGATGAATAAGCTTGTCGATAGTAGCGGTCAAATGTTGATATTCTTCGCACAGTTTACCTAACTGCGTCAAACTATCACGTATGGCACGGTTGGTCGAAACGATTGCATTGTCCACTGTTTTAAATATTATTATTGAATTAGTGTGATTGCATTTATTTATTCAGTGGGCGCTGCAGGCTATTTTAAGTTCTAAAACTAGGTAGGTACTTATATAACTTAGGTATTTTATGACACTGGTCAAAGAGGAGGTAGGTATAATATAAACACTACCGTAAAACGCGGTGAATAGAATTTGAGGGGTGAATAGATACACCATTGATGGTACTCAACCTTTTTTATATAGGTAGGGTCGGGCCACAAATACCAGATACCGTAGGAGAGCCATGCTCTGCTGAGCTGAGCTGCATGCATGAATGGGTCCGCATGACCGGAGTGATACCACAGACTAAGCCTCCCTTTTCTTCCTCTCCCCTTCCCCTCAAAAGGTCGTCATTGCGCCTGTGGGATGTCCATAGGCGTGGATAATCCTTACCATCAGGTGTTCGTAAATATGTAGTTAACAATTATCTCTAATTATACGCGGGCCACTGATATAGGCCCGGCCTCGGGCCGCAGGTTGAGTATGTGAGTGTTGCCTGAGATACACAAAAGGGGTGAATAGATTCTGATATTGGCGAATTTTCCTGGAATCTATTCACCTCTCTTCTATGTCTATTCAACCCTCGAATTCTATTCACCCCATTTTACCGTACGTTCTTACTTGGGTAGGTACAACAGTGCTGCGGTTGGCATATTGAAAAGAAAAAAAAACAAGCATTTTATCATCTTTTTGCCAGTGTTGCTTATTATATTAAATAGGTATATTCTCCACAACACAATAATAATCTAAGCTGCATAACTTTAGCACGACCATAGCAAGCATACACACACACTCTAATAACTATAACATAATATTTAGCACACACATTCTAATGACTACTTATAGCACAGCAATGTTACTTGGTGTGCCACTGGCACAGTTACTTTAGTACCTACAGTTGAATCAACATGATATAGACATCTATTGTGCAATAACATGAATATTGTCCACTTAAAGCACTGTACACATAACAAAAGGCATTCAAATATTACCTACTGATTGAAATTCGAAGATAATTTCTTATTTAATTATCATCAGCCTATATGTGCCCGCTGCTGAGCAAAGGCCTCTAACCACATGTAGAAGGTTTGAGCATTTATCTAAACGCTTGCTCAAGGCGGATTGGCAATGTCAAACTTATAATTAGAAATAATAAGTCCAGGTTTCCTCACGATATAAATAGTACATAAATAACTTGGAGAAAGTCACAGCGGTACTTGCCATTCGAACCCTCACCCTCATGTCAGAGGCCGTTTGCAAAAAAAAAACCAATGACCGACGGGGTAGTCGGATACCAACCCGTGCGAAGCAGGGGCGGTCCGCTAGTATAGTAAATAAATAATAATGGAGGGGGTATGTAGAATACAAAAGAGAGTGTTAACCACTATCTTTTCTATTCTAGGTACATACCCCCTCTTCATCTTCCTATTTAACCCCTCACTTTCAGTAGGTATGTTTGCTTACAACACACCAAAAATTCCCGTTCCTCAATTAATCACCTTCTTCACTCTCCTGCTCACTGTTCATAGGCCAAGGTTCTTTCAGTGCAATTCAGTATTTTTGGTGGTAATTTTTTCGAATAAGTTGTTTGTACAAATTATATTTACAGTTAAAGTATTAAATACAACTCAAAATACTATACCTAGATATTAAGATAGACAATTTAATTAATGGTCTGTCTGATGTTAGAATGTATTAAGCATACCAAATATTAATAAAACGTAAAAAAATGTTCTAACTTACATTCACGTTTTTGTCGTAGTTTATTCTCATTATCCTGTTCTTGCATTTTAATTTTTTCAATTTGTTTCTCCACCGATGATTTCATTTTTTTTAACACGCCTTTTTATTTTGTTGTTTCCTACGGTAATTAAGTTTATTCCAAGTATTATCAAAATGGCTGACCTGACTCATCCAGTCACCGTCGTTCTTTTTTTAATTAGATAGGTACCGCACTATTTTTTTTTCTTCTTCAATGGCAACCTAATCTCCAATTCAATATTGTTGACTATACTGCCTGTGTCGTGATTTTAGTCAAAGCTGCGAGCAGTAGTAATAAATAAGTATTAGGTACTGCTGCGGGTCTAGGTGTTCTATATGAAATTTTCTGTGTTTGTTAAAGTTAAAAAAAATGTAAATTATTTTTAACTAGCTTCCGCGGTTTCGCCCTCCTTGGCCCCAAGTCTGCATTATCTTTATTCTTTATTAGGCATTCCAGGTTTTACAGGGGTAGTTTACAGTGATAGCCGCACTAGGCGAAGCCTGTGTCGCGGTTATCAACAATACGATTTCCTTAGGACTAATGCATCTAAAATATCAATAATAATAAAAAAATTGAGCAATAATAACAAAAAGTCAATTAGTGTGTGAGTGTGTGTGTGCGAGTGAGTAATAGTATGGAGGTGTGATTGAGAATGTGTGTGCTATGTGCGAGAATGTTTCAGACTTACCTACTGTGTGGCTTTTAATAGCTGTTCTACTTCGTTGTATGTTAAATTATTCAAATATTTTGTTTGCAATACGCGCGCTGTGTCTTCTTTGCATTTACAGATTTTGTTGTATAAATAAGGAAATAAAAAATTCGAAAATCTTTGTACAAAGGAGGTATTGGAATTTTAAATATTCTATTTGTCAGAAGTTTATTGTTTTAGGAGTGAGGGCAGGTAGGATTCGCCACGCAGCCGCCAAGGAAGGAACTCTCAGCAGATCGAAGAACCTCACCGCTCGGACCGCAAATCCACAGAAGCACTTGAAGCTCGGTCGCGGTCGGCTCGCCCACCCCAGCACGTGCTCAGCTGTTGGCCCGATCACGCGAGGCCCTCCGTCGCGCCCGGCGCCTGGTCAGCCACCAGCGGCTAGCCCCGGGTACCGGCTCGAAGGGACCCCACACTGGTCTGCGACTGACACGTCGCCTTATTCGCCGCCGACAATAAAGCCGGCACACAGGCCGCTACCCGCACGCACCACGAGACCTGCTGCCGCACCCGATGCGCAGCTTGCCAGCAAGTGGCAGTCAACGGCAACAACCATGCCTCACGGAAGTGGGGCATCGTCGTCCTCGCCACCGCGATCTTCCACCAAACCCAACCGGGACCGGAAGGAACATGGGCGCGTGTCCAAGAACTCGCAACAAAGGCTCACTTAGCGAGTGAACATGCGGGCTGCAGTGCAGCGATGGTTGGAAGCGCCCGAGGACGCGTCGATGTCGCGCACGGCCACTGGAAGCCTAGGAGCGGGAGAGGAATAATTCTTCCCCCCGCCTACCTCGACCCCCGACACCCCGGCGTCGCTCTCGCCGCCGCCACATACGCTCGGCCTGCGTGGACCGTACCGGAGAGAAGCGCGAGCGCGCCAGAATCCATGGACGTGGCACTCCCACGCCCCACCATCGCGGCTCGTGTCACACCCAACCGCCGCAACATCGGCGATACCTCGGCCGACTGCAAGACCACCATCGAGGATCGCCCTGGCGCAGCCTGCCGATGCTCCGGCTAAAGCTGCGCGCGTCTACGCGTCCGCCTCCCTATCAGCATCGAAAACCGACCACAAACCGCCGTCGAGCTCTGAACGAAGGTCGACTCGGGAGAGGGTGGATTATTAATACACTGTCATACTTATTAAGCGCGTATAATAAAGTAAAGTACAATACTTGCTGCTTACTAAAAAAAATTAAATCATGCACCGAAACCATACCGCGATCTCTCTCGATTATCTATCGAGAATTTTGCTTTTTAAATTATCTTGGATATCTATAAACGAATCCATTTTGTTAACACAATAGTACAACACAAGTTACAAACAATAGAATCTAATACTACAGCACAAATATTAAGTGGAAGACTATAATATTATCCTAACCTTAACACATTCAGTGCCCCCGACGCGTATGTGCGTTTCCTCGCACGCACATACGCGTCGGGGGCACTGAATGTGTTAAAGTCCATTTACATTGAAATTTTTACAAGTCTTTTTAAGTTCAATTTCTATACGAATTTGGACATAGACTCCCCGTCCAAACAACTTTTTCTTAAAATTATCACAAGTCCAAATCACATAGTTCTAATCTAATGCCCTGCCTTTATTAGATTCTTCCAGAATAACATTGAAAGTACTGCCAATCCTGGTCAGGAAAAGAATCGTCCACCAGCTACTGCCAGTGCCAACACTGCGCGCATCCGACGCGCTGGGCGTAGAGATCTGCATCCTAACGCCTTTTTCAAGGCGCTTGTTTCACTGTTTCTCATAACAGAAAGTCAAAAACTAAGGTATTGGTTTGTTGTTCACGAAGGTATGGTAACGGTAATCTGGTTCTTCAAGGAGGTACGGTAATCTGGTAATATGAGGTGTAGTGGTTATGCAATGACGATATAACCAGATGTGGTCTGGTAGTACGAGAGCCCACGACCAAAACCATGTCTCATAGCAATACGGCAAAAACCCTATAAAATTGTTAGATTGTATGATTCTGAACGCGACTACGCGTGTAGTAACGGTCGAAAGTGTAGCAACTGCGTGGGAGGCCATTTCTGCTGTGTCAATAAAAAAAGACAGTCGGTATTATAGCAATACGTCTGATAGTGAAAATGTACATAGATTTTATAATTGTATTACGAAAAAGTTTGTTTTCAGACATTTTGCGCGTAGCATATAGCCTGAGCGCATTTTTGAAAATGTCAACAAATTTAGCCGACCTGTATCATAGCAATACGGATAATTTTTTTTTCAACTTTTCGTATTGCTGCCATGATTACCAAAAACCTATGGTGGTTATATCCTATTTGTGGTTATGTCATAGATTGTAGGTGTGTATGACGCTATAACACTACCCCCCTAGGCGAAGCAAAATCAAATCAATCAAAATCGCTTTTATTTGTTAAGCACTGCTGTTTTTAAAATCCCGTTATAGAGTACTTCTATACGCGTGCGAAGCCGCGGGCGGAAGCTAGTTATAAGTAATATAAAACAACTCATTCGCATGTGCAATATAGTCCCTATGATATAAAAAGCCTCGACGCCTTTAGTTTCCTCTTCTTCACTGACGAACAGACTGATAGACTACTAATTCTATTTTGACGCTTCAAAAGTACTTATTTAGGGTTTATTTGGAATATATTATTTTTAAATTAAATACGGATGAAATGATTTAAATACGGATTATACTACAATCAACTAAATGTAGGCGAAGACATGGATAAAGAAACAAAACAATAAATGAGATATATATAGAAGATATATTTGTCAAACAATAACGAATACAATAACACAATAATAATATCTCGCTTGAGGTACGTACGAAAACAATAAACGTTTTATTAACATATCTAAGATACAAAAACCACGTTAAAAGTATTTTAAGCAAGACATTTACAATATTGAACGTGACAATGCAGTCAATACTTTATGCCGTTGATATTACGGTTTGTAGAAATCACCATGAGCTTACCTCGATGGGAGATTGATTAGTAAAAATAAAGATCAACATCCTTGCTTCATGGGCGAAGACGCCTTTGCAAAGCAGTGTAGGGCAGTTAATAGAAATAATTCTATGATTCGAGTTTAGATTCAGAAATCTACGAATCTACCTATATGAGATAATATCTGATTAAATTAAACTAAGCTTATTTCTACGCGATTACAATAATTGAATGTATGACCATAACATAATGAGAAAATACCTAGAATTTTATTAACCTACTAACATAATCTGTCACCGTTATTTTATTACATTTTAGTAATTATGTATGTACCACTAAGGCCCAGCGCACACCAGGAGTGGCGCGGCGAAGATACTGAGAACGTATCAGTTAAAACTCAACATTAAACACTTGACATATGGTTGAAATTGGGATGCCAAAATTGAATAGCGCGCGGCGTGTCGTTTAGCTGCCACGAGAGCCTTCGAGCGACGACGTGAATCATTAATGAGGATAAACTCATAAACATCAACGAAAACTATCGAGTGGAAAGTCGCGCTTCAGGGCTCTCGAATCTCGATGGCTCTTGACCGCGCTTGGAGTCGATCGGATTTCGCGCGCGGATTTTGGTTCGGTATCTTCGCCGCGCCATTCCTGGTGTGCGCTGGGCCTAATTGTTCTAGCATTTTGAGTGCGAAGGGTGACTCGAGTGCCGCCTGCCCTCCGGCCCACAGACGCGGCCAGGGCGAGGTCGGCCCAGAGCGCGGCCAGCGCGGCGCGGGCAGGCGCCGGCTAGAGCGCGAGCGCGCGGGCGAGGTCGGCCCAGAGCGCGGCCAGCGCGGCGCGGGCAGGCGCCGGCTAGAGCGCGAGCGCGCGGGCGAGGTCGGCCCAGAGCGCGGCCAGCGCGGCGCGGGCAGGCGCCGGCTAGAGCGCGAGCGCGCGGGCGAGGTCGGCCCAGAGCGCGGCCAGCGCGGCGCGGGCAGGCGCCGGCTAGAGCGCGAGCGCGCGGGCGAGGTCGGCCCAGAGCGCGGCCAGCGCGGCGCGGACAGGCGCCGGCTAGAGCGCGAGCGCGCGGGCGAGGTCGGCCCAGAGCGCGGCCAGCGCGGCGTGGGCGGGCGCGCGACGCCCCGCCAGCGCCGCCAGCGCGCCGCGCGCCTCCCTCACGTACGCGCGCGCCACTCGGCTCTCCTGCAACAACTTGTTCTTCATTCTTCCAGTTCACGTCAAACTAAATACCAAATCACCTTACTAACTTCCAATGGTAGAAGCCTAAACTTCTTTTACCATCGTCCAATTAGTAAATCTTAAGCGTTTCATAGGACGCTGAATGAAGGAAGACCGAGCTCAACATAGGATAGAATTTAATGGGTAGGTAATTTTGAATTTTTTTGGTTAACAAATAAAAGTGACCTGCAGAGCAGCGCGTAGTGCATAGCGGTGACGGCGGCGCAGGGCGCGCGCGGCGGGCGCGGCTGTCTCGGCGGCGGCGGCGGCGGCGCGCTCGGCGTGCAGGCCGCGCTGCAGGCGCGCGACCAGCTGCGCGTAGGCGGCGCAAGCGTCGGCGCCCAGCAGCAGCGGGCCGGCGCCCTCGTCCTCCCACGCAGGTTCCGGCTCGGGGCCCACCGCGCCCGCCAACCTGCCACACAACTCCGTGTCAGGGGGCCGCGCGGCCCGCGAGCTAGCGCGGTGCGCGGCACGTACTGCGCGGCGGCGGCGAGCTGAGGGTCCGCGCCGGCGCCCGCGGCTGCGCTCAGACCACTCAGCGCTGCGCCGAGCTCCCGCATGTCACTCCTCTCGGCCTCACATCTTTCTTGCACTAAAACAAAACACACAAGCTTCGTACCACTTCTGAACGATTGAATATCTATGGTTTCTAAGCGAACCCTAACTAATCAAAGGAACGTTTTTCGCGGGTAGAAATCCTCATTGGCTTCCTCCGCGCGGGAAAAGACGACCAGATGGCTGGCTGGAGGCGAAAAAAGGCGTTGTTAACCCTTCTCCTGCGCCCGGAGCGCCATCTGAAGCCGGGAAAGGTAGTCGAGATCACCCGCTCCGCAGTTTCCTTCTGCGACATCAAGTTGTCGCAAAAGGACACCACCGCGTCCCACGACTCCGCGCTGTCGACCATATCGTCTCCTACTTCATTTATGAGGACACAGCGCTGATCCTCCCGAGCTAGGCACTCAACGAGCGAGTGTTGCGCCGAGTCCTCCCCGCAATGATGTATGCAGCGGTGGCACCAAGTGTCCGGCTATTTTTTATTTATATACCTCGCTACATATGACAAAAAAATGTCCTGTATGAGGCAATGGAGTACGGTCCTTCGCTATCCGGGATGTCGACATATCCAAACGAATAGCGAACCTGTAAGGATCGAGCGAGGTATATTCCAGGGTGATATTTTGAGTCCGCTTTGGTTCTACCTAGCCTTGAATCCTCTTAGCACATTGCTGGAGAATTCAGGTCTAGGTTGAGGAGAGGTGATCAGGTTATATTTCACCTCCGTTACATGGATGACTTGGCGCTTTTTGCCCCCAACAAGCTGCTTTTGATAGAGCTACTCAAGCTAACTGAAACTTCAGTAGTGCCATCAGGATGAAGTTCAGTGTGGAAAAATGTGCGATCATGTATGTCAAACAAGTAGAGATGGTGGAGTCTGTTGGCACTCAACTCACGGATTCCATAAACCTGAGGTCCCTCTCTGCAACCGAAACCTATTAGTATTTGGGTATGTCGGGAGCATCAATGTCACTGACATGAAGCAATCGCTGAGGGAGCGTTTCTTTGGTCGCCTGAAGAAGGTATTTACTATTTAGTAGCTTTCTTTTGTCATGCTGGTATTGATGTATTCTTTTGGCGTACTCAAATGGTCTCAAACTGAACTTGACGCCCTGGATAGGCGGTACCCAACAATGCTGACTGCATACCGAATGCGTCAGTGGTAAGACTGTATATCCTGCGGAAGTGAGGCTTTTTAAATGCCAAGACCCTACACAACCGCAAGGTATGTAGTCTTAGGGAATATTTCCTAGCGATGTAGTGGCAGTGGACAAGGGTCCCACTCCGCTCTTCCACTCGTGACCAATAAGCCTATAGTGGTGGTGGACCGAAACGAGAGGCGTGCAATGATTGTTGACAAAGTTGTTCCACATGACGAGAAACTTGTTAAGGGGAAAGATAAACGGTGGGTAGTGGATTCAGTTATCATTGTACCGATAGCGTGTAGGTGAAATACGAAAGGTACCTTTTTCAAATATCTGCGTCAGTCTGGCTAGGGCGAGTTGTGCCAATCTTAAGGGTTCCTGCTCGGTCGCGAACGCGTCCTGCAACTCTTGTGTCGTCACCTCGTTCTGCAATATTCATCACATATTAGTATGCTCCATCTGTGATCATCTCCTGCTACGGTTTTCACAATTTTGCTTACACGTGTTGTTAAGTTTTTTAACAACATGCTCTCCGTGCCATGAGTTACATAAACTACGTACCTACAAACCAGTTTTTTTTGTTTACCATTGTACGTTTTTGTAGGTACTTAATCGTGTAAGCCTCGCTTTGTAGATCGACATCCTCACTTATCAGTAAAACGAATAAAAACAGTTATAATGATAATATTTAATACTGTTAACTGAGTCGCAAATCAGCTGTTTAGCTTGTCTCTTTAAAAAAACATAATAATTTTATTTTACTACGTATGTAATATTTTTTCTTACAAGTACATATGCATTAATTTTCGTGTACTAAACCGAAAATGTAAAAAATCTCTTGAATTAACAAACTTAATCAACAAACGTTTTTTACTATCAAATGGATTAATTGGGTGTTGGGGAGAAAATGTAAAACACTTGGGTGAAATTGAGACACACTGACAGTATATTAAATTATTATGCAGATTGCTACTTACGATTGCAGAAGTATCATCCTGTGCTTGTATGCATGAAACAATGCATTTCAGCCTTTAAACTTAAAATTTTATAATATACATATTATAATGTATTGAAGTGACTTAATTACGAGCACGCATTGCTGAGAAAGCTCGAGATTTTCTACAGACAGTTGTACACCACAAAACAGCAGTCCATGGTCGGTACAGTTCGGTACCCAGAGCTCAGCTGTCTCAACAGTTGCCTTTATGTTTAGGTGGCTCTCAAACAGCTTAAAAGCAACAAGTGAGAGCGGGGTTTCTTCTCCTAATGAAGGCGTTAGATTGTGTGTTTTATGATACACCGATCAGGAAGCTATCCTAGTGCGGAATAAGGCGTGCCGCTCTGGACCTTTTTACGTCATATCTGAGTAATAGGGTTCAGAGAGTTGTACGGAACGATTTCTGTCGGGTCTGTTGTGAAGATGGGTGTTCCGCAGGGTTCTATTCTCGACTCGTTTTTATTACCTATTAATATAAATTACGTATTTCACGCTCACAAAAACAATAGCCTATTTAGGAAGTAAAGTGATGTAGATACATTATATTAAAACGAAAGGGAAAAACAAAGTCCTGCCCACCTCGAGGCATCAGAAAATAATTGATTTCCTTTAGATGTATTAAACGTTTATTGTAAGTCCTGGCGACATTCAAAATTTAAGCTTAAATAAATTTAAAAGTAGTTCGTTCCTTAAAAGTTTACGCTTTATGACATAAAGCGCAAACTTTAATAATTCGTATTGACGAGCACTTCGCACCAGGCAATTATATTGATTATTCTTATTATGTTAATTCATTCATATTGATGAAAACTTCGCACCTACATGGGTTACAATGAAGTTGTGCAGTAGATCTGACGATGGAGCCTTAAGACCGTCGAGGGATCTATTAGAAGTACTATTACGTATTTGGAGTAGTTGCCTTGTGTTTGGGCTTGAATGATTCGTATTGGTCAGCACTTTGCACCAAGATTGGTCGTGACTATCATTAGGGGTCTAATGGTGAGAACAAAGGACAGCTCAGGGAACTCCTGAACGGTTCACAGTAACTACCTAGTGTTTGGACTTAATTCATTTATATCGATGAAAACTTCGCACCTATATGGGTTACAATGAAGTTATGGAGTAAATCTGATGATTGAGCAGGAAGACCGTCGTGGGATCTCTTTGACTATTTGGTGTAATTATGTTGTGCCGGAAGACAGTAAATCTGATGATGGAGCCTTAAGACCGTCGAGGGATCTCCTGCACTATTTGGAGTAGTTAGTTACCTTGTGTTTGGGCTTGAATAATTCGTCTTGGTAAGCACTTTGCACCAAGTTTGGTAGTGACTGACATTAGGGGTCTGATGATGAGAACGAAGGATAGCTCAAGGAACTCCTGAACGGTTTACAGTAGCTACTTCGTGTTTGAACTTAATTCATTTATATTGATGAAAACTTCGCACCTATATGGGTTACAATGAAGTTATGCAGTAAATCTGATGATAGAGCCAGGAAATCGTCATGATATTTGGAGTCTTTGACTATTTGGAGTAATTATGTTGTGTTTGAACCACGGAATAGAAAATACAGTGGAAGTGCCACTCAGACATCGCGCGCTAATCAACATGATGACGTATAGATTTACAACATTTTGGGACATTCGCTGTCAGAATCGTTTGCTCCGTTGTCATGATCGGTTGTCATGGTTGTCTCTAAGAAACACGAAATATATTAGAAATTATGCCTTGTTGTGCGGTTTTCAACTGCAAAAAAGTAAGCAGAAAAAAATATGTGTCTTTTGGTGGTGTATCGTATCATCGTTGAGTATTAACCTTTGTTAATTTTAAATATATTTGATTTTAATGAAAATATCACATTTCATTACTTCAATGCAAACTATAAAGGGCCTTATTTTCATTACAATTAAGTTTAAATCTACTTGTTCGATATGTGACGTTATATACAATATATTCCCGTAGTTTCGACGCTACTCATTTAGGGATGGGACACATTCGTAAATTAGGTTTGTATCGAGAAGGTACCGATAAATACATGTTTCTAATACTGTTGTTGTTTGGTATGTAGCATGTATTACTTTGTACAAAGAAAATTTATTTTTTGCTTTTTAGTTTACTTTTTGAAGTCGGTTTTATTTTGTTAAAATATATTTTTATAATACTCAATCAAGCCAAAACGGCTGAACGGATCTGGATGAAATTTGGCACAGGTGTTGGATACACTCCGGAATTGGAGACAGGATTAGGAAATAGGCAACTTTTTATCAACATACCACGCGGCCGAAGCCGAGGGCGGAAGCTAGTATGCACACGTACAACACAATTATTTATATACCTATACAACACAATTATTAACAATTATAGGTATATTGAACTGTATGCGTTTGAGTGGCGCCTTGGCTGAGTTAGATTCACAAATCAGCCCTGCAAGTGGCGCTGATTGCTTGAAAAAGCATATGATCTCGGAAACGGCCCTATTTGATATTTGAAGATTTTCGGGAACGAGATATCGATGTAGCTCAGTCTCATGTTTGGGAAAGCGCATGTTTTCGAGTTTTCACAATATTTCACGCATAAAATGGGCGCTAAATTCACGGAGCTTGGCATAGCCGCTGTGGCGTAGTCGATAGTGTTCCTCGGTTCAAACCCAGGCACACAAGTTATTTGTTTGTGTTATTAGAAACAAAGCCGTAATAAAGTTCAATATCTATTAAACAAATTAATTTATTGTAATGACTTGGCAACTGATTTTGCTCATTAGTATTGTCGAAATCGTTAGCCTAGCCAATAAATAAATATGAATATGAATAAATAAGGTACCAACTGGCATAGTTTTCATTATGGCGTCAATGCAAATAAATAACGATGACATAATGTACGGTGATGTAGAAAAACCTTACCAGATTATCTTCCTGAGTGCCAGCTAGAATAAATTCATCGTGTTTCGGTTTCTCTAATCTTAATGTACTTTCGCAGAGAAACACCCTGAGGTCGGCATCATGAGCCAGGACTGGGTGCCGTGCGACCAGAGTCAGCCAGCGCTGGAGAGCGGCGCGGCGCCGCAACAAGAAATGTGAGCTGCCGCCCCCAACCACCACACGTTTTGGTGGCAATCGACATATTGCACTACAAGTTTAATTAAACATAACAATTTCTACTTACAGATTAAAACAGCCAATACTGTGTGTTACAAAACACTTTTTTAGGATCCCTTTTTGTGTAACTATATTTCTGATCTAAACTTTCAACATATGTAACTAGGGAATACCAGACCAGATGCAAAGAAGTCACCATTTCGGGGGCTTACTCCATCATTCTTATCTAATCAAACTGTTTACTTTACTCATCACTTCAAGATCAAAAAATGATGGATGTAGTGGTATTGTCATTACTAGCAGTCACTTACCGATAAGGATATTTGGCATGTAAGATATCATATAGCTGAACGAAGTCATTGTATCTTCTGGATACTGTTGTACCATGTCTTCTTGAACTGACATAGTACTCACAATGCTTCAGTATGAGACCTTTGCGTTCTGGTACAAGCTCTACACTTATAACATCAGTTGCTTCTAACTCTGCAAATGTCACTTCCTCTGTCACCACTGACATAATATACTCTGAAATGATAAATAGTTAAACAATATCTACACTAATATTATAAACAGGTCAAATTTGTAAGTTTGTATGTAGGGGGTAATCTTTGGAACCGCTGGTTGAATTGCTGAAATTCTTTCACTGATAGATAGCTACAATGTTCCTGAGTGCTATAGGCTATAAAACATCACGCTACGATCAAATGGAGCAGAGTAGCAGGTAAAACCGCGCGAGAGTACAAAACTATTCTGGTTAGTTGTACATATATAATTAAATGTATTTTTTTATGTAAGGATACTATGTATATCGTATTATCTGTTTCTATATAGTAGTATATTCACTTATCTCTGGAACACTAAAAGGTACATATGTCAGTCTAAAGTTTTAATAAATAAAAAAATATTTAAAGAAGTGGATCTGATTCTTATTAATTAGTTCTAAATACTTACTTTTTGTATGATGGCTTCAGCAGCAGGATGGATGGATTGGTTTTTATTTTAGACGGTGTACCAAGTTAGTTTTAAGTAAAGTATTTGCAAGCAGCAGGTCATCTGGTGTGTCGATCTCTATACTTTCTGTAGCACTAACTTCAATCACAGTACAACTTAAAATTAAATATATTAAATGTAATTAGATAACTGGCAAATCCAAAAATCTACACCACAATTACAACTAGGTTTGCTTAATGATAAACAAACGTTTTAATTAAAGTTTTCTAAGTTCAACTTAGGCAACTTCCGTTCCATAACATGTCAATGTGATTGACATTGACACGTACTCACGTCACTGTCACGATTTCATTTGTCACTTGCCTTGTCAGAACTGTTTACTAGAGATGTGCGTTTTGTGAAAAGGTAATCATTTAATGACCTTACAACAAATACACCTAGAAACCGAGTACCTACGCATCGTCAAAGTGAGGCAACTAAAACCTACCCATAGTACTTGACGCGCCCAGTCAGTGCTCAAGGTGATGCCGTATTGAAACTACTCCCGATATTTTTATTCATAATGACGGATTGCGCAGTGCACAGATGTACTGTGTGATTTTATTTGTACATCAGAAAAGCACAAGGAACTTAACAACATAATATTTCATGGATAAGTTATGAGTTTGAGCTTATATTTTTCCATAAAATATTAATTAAAATTAATTAAAATGGAAAAATATTTTATTCGTTACAGATCATGAAAATGTTGCCATTATGGGAAAAAACTCCTAAATTGTGTGGTTTATTTAACGTGAAACACGTCTCCATAAGGCAATTAATAAAATGCACAAAATGTTACTTGTCAATTATTTATCTACTGCTAGCTTATGTTTTCGTTTTTAATTTCTTATTAAAATTGGACATAATTTCAAATTTATGAATATAAAAAAAAAACATAAACGTTAACTATGCTTATCGCCCTTATTCACCAGGGGCAGGAAATTTAATTTTAATAGTTCTTCACTAAAAAAATAAAGAAATCGGCGTAGCTGTACAAAAGATGCAATTTCCCCACTTAAAGAGAAAATTTAATGTAATGGCAGCATTTTTTTATGTGTGCGTTACATCAACCGTTACCTATACAAGAATCTTATAATATCCACACATAAAGAATCTTGCTTCACTTTTGACGGACCGTTTTGAAAACAACTACCCATTAAACTAAAACAATACTTGTCAAAAAAACCAACTCGCAACTCTCGCAATACGGTAAAATGTTGTGATATTTTATATTGACTTGTTCATCGCACTAAAAAATTTAATTACATGTTTAATGGTTGTTACATTAAAACTTTATTGTTCTTAAAACATTATTAATCACAAACATACTTAGTTCTTAAAATTAAGCACATGGTAACATTTAAGTGAAAGTGGTGTCGAGTCGCCCGTACGCGACGAGGGTTGGGGCGCTCTCACGCGCCGCGCGCCGCACCGCTCGCACCACCTCGGCCTGCGTTGGCGCGCGGAGTGGGCAGGCGGCGGAGGGGGGGCCGCGCATGCGTGTTACTGTAACAGGTAGCGCTGCGGCGCGTTGCAGCCACAGTGTAGCAAAGCCAAAGTGTAGCGAAGCCACAGCCTAACCAAATAAAATCCCGCGCTACACATGTGTTTTCATGCGATGGCCGAGTCAATATATTAATATAAAACATTAAAGATTTTTAAGATTGTAATGCGTCACTATAAGATGCTGTTGTTTGAATTATTACGTAACAACTTAATGCTTGAAGTACCTACTGACATTCCAGACACAACTGATTTTCTATTGTTATGGACCACGATTGTGGAGTGTTTGTGTTGTCTTAGGGAGTGGACGTATCGCCGGGTTCACACATCGTGGTCAGTGGGGCCCGGATAGCTGTCGAGTCCACCATGAAGTACCTGGGATTGGTGCTCGACAGCCGTTGGGAATTCGGTCCCCACTACCGGCGGCTGGCGCCCAAGCTGATGGGTGCAGCAGGCGCGCTTTCAACGTTGCTTCCCAACTTGGGGGGCCCGAGCGCCGCCTGTAGGCGGTTGTACGTGGGAATCGTGCGATCCATGGCCCTGTATGGGCCCCTGTGTGGGCGCTCGACATGACGGCCAGTACTCTCGCCATTCTGCGGAAGCCGCAGAGGGCGATGGCCGTCAGAGTCGTCCACGGGTATCGCACGATCTCCTACGGGGCGGCTTGCGTCCTGGCCGGATCCCCGCCCTGGGACCTAGAGGCGAAAGTACTCGCGTCATTATATCGATGGCGCGAGGAAGAGCGGGCACGGGGCTCGAGACCGGTGCAGCGGCACATCGCGCGGCGCCGAGAGGAGCTCCGACAGGTCCTGGTGGCGGAATGGCGGCAGAGGCTTCTGCACCCTACCGCCGGCCTCGCTACCGTCGAGGCGATCCGGCCAGTACTCGACGACTGGCTCGGGAGAAGGCATGGCTCCCTGTCGTTCAGGGTGACACATGTATTGTCGGGGCACGGTTGCTTCGGCAAGTACCTGTGTCGCATAGACAGGGAGCCGGACGCTCGGTGCCACCACTGCGTCCATTGTGGGGAGGACACGGCGCAACACAAGCTCGCCGAGTGTGTGGCTTGGGAGGAGCAGCGCAGTGCCCTCACGTCAGAAGTAGGAGGCGATCTGTCGCTGCCGGCCGTGGTTCGTAGTATGGTCGGTAGCGCAGAGTCGTGGGACGCGGTGGTGTCCTTTTGCGAGGACGTGATGTCGCAGAAGGAAGCTGCGGAACGGGAGAGGGAGATCTCCACTCCCTTCCCAGGCCGCAGAAGACGCACCGGGCGCAGAAGAAGGGCGGATAACGCCCTCTTCCGCCCCCCATGGTCCAGGGGCGATGACCCTGGGGAAGTCCCCGCCCCCTATCCGATGGACCCGAGGCGAAGGCGCGCGCGGTGTCTACGCGTGCCTCTAAGAGGATGCACGGGGTAGTCGAACACCTCGCTACCCCGTGCTAGAGACGAGGCCCGGACAGACCGGGCCAGCACTAGTATGGGGCTGCGGAAGAATGTGGATTCCCGCGGCCCCGCGCGCACGTGCGAGGAGACACCGGGGTGGTTTTAGCCGGTAAGAGTCCGGCACGCCCCTCCGCCTCTCCCCAGGCGGAGGAAGTCCATGAGGATTTCCCACCGTTAAAAAAAAAAAAAAAAAAAGGGAGTGGACGTATAAGGCAGGAAGTCGCTTAAGTATTACATGGATAAGACTTGGCATTACATGGATCTCAAAACTTTTTACCGAAGAACAACTGAGTTGCAAAACTGGTTTTTTTTGACAAGTATGGTTTTTGATGGGATCTCATTTATTTTTGTATTATGTAGTTGACAGTTCTACTTTTTTTCTTTTCGGTACCTTCTACTTATATCATTTTCGAGACTACATGTTCCTAAACACCACGCTTTCATTAAGAAGTATTTGTTTTATTTAACTTAAATTTATTTATTCAATCATTGTTTATTTTACACAAAGTTAGGTACTTAGGTACTAAGGGTGACAAAAATGCATGGAGAGCTTAAGGTCGACTATTGACTGACAGGTTTTGCATAACGCTACCATTGATAACTAGATGGCGCTGCTTTTAAATGAAAATAACCCTGCAAAGCTTGAATACTTTACACTGCAGAGGCACACAATAAGATTTTTAATGGTTAAAATAATAACTAAGAAACAATAATATATTTATATTCAAATACACATAAATTATGTTAATTTTCACATTTCCGAGGACTTAATATAGCGCCATCTAAGTCAAGTCAAGCAAACCAATTAAAAGATGGCGTCAATAATTAATAATAGACAATAATAAAAGTTATAAACTAACCCGCATTTTCGATATCAGTAAAAATGCGATCGGTAGCTCGGATAAATAAGAATGATAGTATAATGAAGTCGAAGGGCACCGGTTCAATCCCGGGTTATCATTTTTAAATTCAGGTTTTTTAACAATGGTTTTTTTATATAAAATCAATAATAATAATATATAAATATAATATTTGACGTTTAATATTTATAAAAGATAACAAAAATAAATAAATATATTATTTTAGAATAAAATTATATTAATAAATATATATAAATAACTTTTATAATATGTGCTAACTATTAATGTAAAAGTAACATATTTTTCTTACAGATTAAGACTAATACTAAGTTTAATTCTCATAAAGGATAACAAATAAAACTATTTTAGTGACATTATAATTTCAGACATTTATTTCTTAAAACATAATATTTATTTCTTTCTTATATAGTGTATACCCTGACCTAATAACTTTCCAGCTAACTGACACATTATTTATTACACTTTTTATAAGATTAATAAGTATTTTAAATCAAAATTGTGTTGTGCTAGTCATTTATTAGTTAGTTTTAAACACAATGTTATAATACGATTCTATATAATATGCAACCTTACTTCTGCAACTATTTTACCTAAAACTTACTTAAACAACCTAAAATTTAATTAAAGTATTGACTAAAGTGATTCATTTTGTGCATCATGTTATGACAAAGGCTCATAGCTTAAGTATTCGTTCCAGAACAAGGAAGAAATTGAAGCTAGACCTTAAATCAATAACATTTCTAAGACCGGGATATAGCATTCACTAGATATGGGACGAATTGTTCATAGTAATTAATAAATAAATAATTTATTATTTTGCAATCAATAGCATCTGTAAATATTAATATTGCTTTTATTTTTATTTCTCATATTTAGTAAAACATTAAAATCATTACTGTATAACAGTCGCTGGCAGTAAATTTATCCTACTAACACTAAATTTGAACATTTATCCATTAAATAAATTATAGCTACCCCGGTCTTGTAATTGCTTAATCCTATAGTCAACAATGTCTTTTCTTTTAAGAACTAGTGTAGCCGCCATTTTTATCGATCCTATTTCTCCTATCTCGCTGGCCAAGGAATAATCCGTATGTCTGATTGCTGACTAAACACTTGCACAATTATGGAACATTACACATAAGACAATTGTCCAACACGAACGTTATCACTAGCACATCTTCATGACGTCATTCAGCACATCTATGTAGTTTTCACTGTTTGCATCACTGAAGATGACAATGCTCCAGTAATTTTCCTCATAACCTTGCCCCATAAGTTGAAGCTGGTCTGAGTCAATATCAGGTCTTCTGCCAGATCCACTACGGTGCTCCAATGAACCCTCTTCTTGAAACAGCTTTAGATATCCATAAAGTGGCAGTCTTTACCTGTAAGGGACGTGTATTATTTATTATTTTCATGTATCGATAACCATGGATAATAAAATAAACAACAAACGGTCATTTATAAGAATACTTACATTTAAGCCAGTTTCTCTAGAAATTCCAGTATAATTTAAGCTTTGATTAGGCAATGCTATTATTTGGGCCCTCGTAGCCATATTAACATTTGAACGCAAATTCATAATAAAAATAAATATTAAAAACTTGTTAAACAAATCGTGACTGAACTCACTCAAAGATAGTAAAGAATGTTATGATTGAACAAAAAGGTTTAATTTTTATACAGTTAATTTTAAATTACCCTCAACTGTTTTGAGATTTATGATCGGGTTATAGTTGCTAAACAACTTCAATATAATAAAGAGTAGGATAATTTCAATACATTTCAAGGTTACGTAATGGCCTAATGGCTAGTGGCATCGGTTAATTTTATGCTACCGTGTTCGAATCCTGGTTATTGCGTGCTTTGCTTTAAAAAGGTTTGGAATATCGTAGCATTAATTTGTATAAAAATTTATTAAGTTAATAACTTTGTATCTGATAAAAACTATAAATGTATATTTTTCAATACCACTAGTATACTAGCGCCATCTATGTCGTCCATGGTATATAATTAAGGCGATGAAACGCCGTACAAACGATTTTGATTTAGAATCATCCATGCACTTATGACACTGATAGTACCTA